TTAAAAACCTGGTCATTTGTTGTGTGGGCCAGGGGGTGCGGATCCGTCCAAGCCATCCACCGGTGGCCTCCCTCATCTCCGGTTTCTTCACTCTGTCTTGACACCGGGCTCAGGTGGGGCAGGAGGAGAGAGTGTGGTAGCAGAATTCACAACCTAAAAATGTTAAAGATAATGTTACGCTGCTTTCGGTACACGCGGAGAGTCCCTAAAACGTCAAAATGGTTACGATTGTGTTAACTTCGGTTTTTGATATACAGGAAGCTTGTCAATGAAGGTACTGATTAAATATAAAAATTGCAAATATAGTTACCTCCAATGATAATCATCAAGTGTAGTTTTTACTTAAGAGAGATTAGGGCAATTGCGGATATGGCGGCTTGCCAACGGCCTGCACTTTTAGACTAGATCCCAAAAAGGTTTCCCGGGGTTTCGTTGTATTTTTTACACTTCTGAATCGAATGAGATGCGGCTACTTAAAGCATACAGACTTTTGCTTGATTTCGCCCACAGGGACATCATTGAAACAAAGGTTTTTACAGGCGGATCAGTGACTGACAAATTTAAATAGAATCGCAGTCGTGATTGTGAATGGACCATTATGCGCAAGTAATGAGGGCGTTTCTTCTGTGAAATTAATTTGCACTTTTTCTTTATTCTGGATTACGTATAGTTGCAGTTCCGTCTTAAAATATCACTAAATACTCTAACCCTCTCATATATGAAATTATAATTTCCAATCGACTACCCATAAGAATTTTTAACAGATTTTGTATAACCCGTTGCTGAACCCTTAAAATATGATACTTGTTTAAGGCATTTACGAAAGTAGCGAGTTTTATGGCGTTCTTTTTCATGTAGAATGTAGTTTGGGCCACCACTACTTCACTTCAATTGAATCGATCCGAACAGAAGACCTCATCGTCGAATAAAATGGACGCTCGCAACAAAAGTCAGCACCGAATATGATTTCGATCGATTAGAAAACTCTCTTTAATAAGTTGCCTCTATATAGAGGCAACTTATGCCGAGTGCTTAAATGTGGCATTCCACTGGTGGATATCTGTATACTTCGCATCTTTTCACGCTAAAGTCGGGAAGGAATTCGAAACCTTTGGCCGTTCATTTCACGTCGCGTTAAAAAATACTGATATTTTTCTACCATAAACGTAAGTTCTTAAGAACTTACTCTTATCTTTATATAGCGTCCATTTCTGCTATCTTTGCTCACTTTTAGGATGGCGAATGATCAAAAAACGCCGCATGGTGATGGGTTTCAGAGCGCTGAAGAGTGATTAGTTGAGAGAGGAATATATAAGGTTGTGTAGCGCAGCTTTCGAACACTTGCACGAGTATCACGATGGTATCTGTTTCCGCCGCTGATTTGAAATTCCGCGAGACTTTGCTCGGCCGATTTTGTCAAATGCTAGGAGATCTGGAAGACGCAATTAAGGGGTTTAGCCAAGAAAGAAAGTTCAGTTTATTAAGGGAAATAGGGATAAGCCTTTGGGTACCCTATTTCCAACTTTTAAAATGCGTGGTATACAGATAAATGTTCTGGGCTGAAATAGTTTAACCACGCACATAATGGGGAGACAAAGTCTGAATGAGTTACTGGGGGTGAGCTCTACTCATCGCCCTTGGTCATTTCGGAACATAAATGTGTTAAGATTCTTTTTAAAGCTTTGTATAGATGGTGACATCACAACATCTGCGGGGAGGGCATTCCATGGTTTGACCACTTGAACAGAGAAGGAGAACTTCCGCACGTCCAGCCTTGCCTGCTGAGTGCGCAGTCTTAACGGGTGACCTCGGAGGTTGGTCGTAGTAGCAAATTCAAAAAAGTCCTCGAAGGCCAGACTGCAGTCTAACCCCTTTACAATGCGGAAGGCATGCAAGAGATCCACGCAAAGTTGCATGTATCTCAAAGGAAAGAGATTCAGATTTACTAGGCGGATTGCAAAAGGAAAGGAGCTTTGAACCCTTAAGATCTTCGTGTCTCTCCTCTGGACTCTTTCGAGGCAGTTTTCATCCTCAACCGCCCACGGCCTCCAGGCCTGCATGCCGTACTCTAAATACGGCCGGACGAATGCTCCGAATGTCTTAGGAAAAGCATTTTCGTCAAAGTCCATAAACGCACGCTTGACGGCG